TCATGAGTAGTAGTGGTTTTACCAGATGCCAAGCAAATCATTGTTGCTACATCAAGAGGTTCGACAATAGCTTCATTATTTTATTATTATACGTTGATGACATGCTCGTTGCAGGCTCAGATATGCAAGAGATTATAAACTTGAAGCAAAAATTGTCGAAGCAGTTTGCTATGAAAGATCTGGGCGCTGCAAAGCAGATTCTTGGGATGAGGATCAAGAGAGACACAAAGTCGGGGACTTTGATGTTATCACAGGCTGAGTACATCAACAAAGTACTCTCCAGGTTCAACATGCAAAATGCTAAACCAGTAAGTACACCTTTAGGTGTTCATTTCAGACTCTCCAAAGACCAATCACCCAAGACGGAGGAAGAACGTGCACACACATGGTGAAGGTGCCGTATGCCTCAGAAATTGGAAGTCTGATGTATGCCATGGTTTGTACCAGACCAGATATTGCTCATGCAGTGGGAGCTGTTAGCAGGTACATGAATAATCCGGGCAAGGTACACTGGGAAGCAGTCAAATGGATCCTCAGATATTTGTGGGGTACCACAAACAAAGCACTTTGTTTCAAAGGTGGAGATACGATACTGACAGGCTATGTAGATGCTGACTTAGCCGGAAATGTTGACATCAGAAGGAGTACTATAGGGTATGTATATACTCTAGGAGGTACTGCAGTGAGTTGGGTTTCTCAACTACAGAAGATAGTTGCTCTCTCCACAACTGAAGCAGAATATGTCGCTGTTACGGAAGCCAGCAAGGAGATGGTTTGGCTCCAAAGTTTCTTGGAAGAGTTAGGCAAGAAACAAGAAAACAATGTCTTGTATTGCGACAGTCAAAGTGCTATCCATCTAGCAAAGAATCCGTCTTTTCATTCAAGGACAAAGCACATACAATTGAGATATCATTTTATTCGGTCTCTTCTGGAAGATGGGATTTTGAAACTTGAAAAGATCAGTGGAGCTCAAAATCCGGCAGACATGTTGACAAAGACGGTGACCACGGACAAACTGAAATTGTGTTCAACTTCAGTTGGCATGCTAGAATAACAAGACTAGAAATGCTGCTACATTGATCGAGGTGTGAAGACAGATTAAAATCAATTTTCAAGTGGGAGATTGTTGAATATTCAAGCAGCCGGCGGCTGCTATTAAATCAAGTGGGGGCTGCTTATTCTTTTATTATTTTTTGTAATAGGGTTAATTACAAAATTGAATCATTGAACTTTAGGGTATTTACAAAGATTAGTCCCTAAGTTTCAACTATAAATACCCTAGCTCATTTAGCTTCAAAATCATCCCAAAATCTTCCAGTTCTCTCTAAAGTGTGTTCTGTAAACACCTGTAAATTTTCTCTTTAGTAAAAGATCTGCAGCAGTCTGGAGACGTAAGCACAATTGGCTGAACTCCGTTATCAACTTTTCGGGTATTATTTTTCCGCTTTTATTTCGCATTCTCACAAATCTGGTTATAAAAAAATTACTTGTACTGCATGCAATCGAACTCTCAGTAGACCTAGCTTTTCGTTGGGTGATTTTCGAAGGGGATGCTCGAGTGGTTTTTCAGAAATTGGAGATCGAGGAACCAGATCGATCAGAAATAAGTTTGATTACTTGGGAGGCTCGTCATCGTGCCAAAGTGTTTGAAGGGAGTCGGTTCGTCTTCATTCCTCGCTCAGGCAACCAAGCGGCTCACTTATTATCGACTGATTCAGCTTTGGGTCAGGTGGATAAATACTGGGTTGAGGATGGTCCACAACGAGTTTTACAACAAATGGCAGTGGACAATCGTTGGTTAGATCATTCGTGAACTCTAATCTCTATACGGGGGTGGTGTTACAAGGCTCACGTTTCTTTCTTTTTTCTTCTTGTCCTCTTGGTTGCTGTGTGCTCATTGTTTCTATGTTGAGAATCGAGAGGTTAGATGGCCAGGGCTTTAGTTTGGTATTTGTTCATTTATTTCCTTTTTGCGGTACAACTGTTTTGCATTTCTCTTTTTCAGACTTGTTTAGTTTGAGACTTAATTAGTTCTTCCTTTATTATTTAATAATATTTATCCGACGGTCTTTTTGTCAAAAAATTGTTTTTAAAAAAATATAAATTTAATTATGTTAATTTTGACAAAATAAATTTAAGGGTAAAGTATATAAATAATTCCTAAACTTTTAGAGCGTTTACATTTTGGTCACCTAATTTTTAAAACTTATAATATAATTATCGAACTTTTAAATCGTTTCATTTTTGTCCATGGAGTTAGTTGTCGTAGGTTTTTGCTGACGTGCCAGATAACTCCCATCAAACCCTATTCTTTTTTTCTCCACCGCTAACAGAATAAAATTTAACAAAATGAAACAAGATTCACGGCAGTGGTGCCGCCTATCTGAAGTTTTCCTCCCTTTTCATCGACATCTCCAAAGGTCGTCGTCCGCACACTTCTAAAACCACCACGCTGAAGCTGTATACATCACTGGACGCCATAGAAACCAAAAACTTCTATGGAGATGATTCAAACCCTCCGCCACGTCGGCCAACACCAACCTCGCATTAGGCATGTCCAAAATCCAACGGTTAAGGCTTTCATTAGGTATGTAATCATAAACAAGCATGACCTCATTACCTTTCCGACACCAACCTCGCATTTGGACAAGGTTCTTATGTTTGAGTCTTCCCATGCTTTTGATCTCAACCATGAATTCTCTTAGTCCTTGCTTCGAATCATGGTTCACGCACTTCACAGCAACCTCCGCCTGATTTGGAAATGCCGCTTTAAAAACACGGCCAAACCCACCGTAGCCTAAAAGATTTTCATTCGAAAATCCATCGGTGGCTTGTTTAATCTCATCATAAGAATATCTATATGGCTAATACTCGAGTTCCCAATCTTTGATCTCATCTGCATCTTCTTCCCTTAACCTTTTCCTCTAAAATAAATAAAATCCAGATCCACAAATAATTACTAAAGCAACACAAGCAATCACAATCCCAGTAATGACCCCAGAGGACAAAGAAGATGATGATGGTGATTCTATAAAGAACCGAGGCAAACCAGTTGTACTAATCTCTCGAAGAATTCCTGTATCGCTCAAGCTCCAAGCTAAAACTCGCTGAGCCTCAACCTACTAAGTCTTAGAAGAAGAAAACCCAACAAACATCTCACTAGCAACATACTTAGCAATCACCAGATCTTTATAATTAAGCGTTGGCCTTGACGGTTTAGGAAAGCCGACGGGAGAAACCGTGACGTTGATCTCAAAATTTGAGCCATCGAAATCAATCCAGGCATAGACATTTTGACCTGTCTGCATGTTAAAAGGATCGCAACTATCATTTGAAGAATTAAAATATTTAGCTAGAGCTGTTTGTGCATATAAATAGTGTTTAAATCGATCCTTATATATTTACCGTCGGGGTCATTAAATTCTAGGTTTTGATTGGTTTCGAACTCAATAACTAGAAGGGGGAGCCACCATAGGGGTTGTTGCGTTGGTGAAAATGCCGAAGTATTGGCTAGCTAGAGCGCGAGGGGAAATGGAGTTGGCCTTATACAAAGGGTGGTGGGGGGTAAAAGACGCGACCGAAGGAGAACTGGTTGGAGTAGTTGGCGAGGCAGACAGTGATTTAACGTGAGTTAACTGCCATGTAAGCAAAAACTAAGACAAAAATGAAAATTAACTAAATGTTTGATGACTGTATTGCAAGTTTTAAAAGTTGGGTGATCAAAATATAAGCGTCCTAAAAGTTTAGGCACTATTTATATAATTTACCCTAAACTTAATTATGAAAGAATGATTTCTATTGTTAGATGTTCCAGTTCGAGAATCATCAACTTTAGTAAGGATGATTGATCGTTCAATATTAAATGGTTGAAAATATTTAGAATATAAATTTGTAATCACCTTAGCTTAATAAAAAAATTAATTATGTTTAAATGCAATTTCCACTTATTTATTATATTATTTTTCAAATGAAAATAGAGTTACATTGTTATTTACAAATTGTTTACATTTTTTGAGCTATAAGTATATATATATATATATATAGACACCCATTTTTTTCCGGGTTTAAAAATATTATTTTATTATTATTATTATTAATGTTACTTTATTTACATTTGTGCAGGCTTGAAGCCCACCATTACAAGTAGATCCAATCATCCCAGCCAACCCAATGATTACAAACTTAGAAGCCCAACACTCAAACCCAGCAACCCACCAATAGTGATCCAACCCACCAATAGTGATCCAACCCAGTAGCAGACCTGGATCCAAGTGCAACTGAAGCCCGATCCGTCCCAATCTTTAACCCAAATCAAACCCTAACCTTAAAACTTCAGCTATCGCTGCCGCAATGTTCTAGCTTCCCATCGGCACTTGGGTCTCACCGCTCCTTCTCCAGACCGGTGCGTGAGCCACCGATGAGCCATTGCCAAGCCACCGAGCCGCCTTCGTCGTCATCACTTACATCAACAAGCACCTAAATCAACCAAATCCCTTCAAATCCACTAAACCCATTAAAATAACACCTAAAAATCCCTGAAAATCCAAGATTCAACCTAATCCATCACTAAACCCACATGCATACAACCATATATTCGGTGAGAAGTATTCGAAACAAAAGGAGGAGGGAACCATTCGGGAAACCCAAAGCCTTCGAACATAAAAAATAAATAAAAGAAAATCCTACCTAAACCAAAACGACATTGAGAAACCGAGAGTAAAGAAAAAACATTGAGAGAAACCATACCTTGATCGAAAGACCATCGGGGAGTCTAAAAGGTCACTGGAATCACTTCGTCTTTCGAAGGTAACAACTTAGATCTACGAGGTTAGGTTGATTTTTAGTAAAAAATAGGTTGTGTTTCGAGTAGAGAAGATCGAGGGGAACCTTTTGCTTTTGGGGTATTTTGTTCTCTCCGGCCACCGTCGGCCGCCGTGAGTGTCACCGACGGTGACGATTGATATCCTCGCCGATGAGAAAGTTAAGAGAATTCTGTCTCACTCTCTCTCTCTCTCTCTGATTTTGGATGAAACGAGGAAAATAAGGAAATGAAGAAGTAAAAAGACCCATTTTGGGCTTATGTACCTCGATCGAAGTGACACCGTTTCATAAAGGGCTTCTTGTTGAGTTAATTGATTGACGAAATCAGCCAAGAGAGGGTGAATTGGAAATAAAAAACTTGGTGGAAGCTTTTGTAGAAAATTAAAAATATTTGCACAGCGATTTAGAGTGGTTCGACTTTCTCAACCAAAGTCTACGTCCACTACCTTAGCTATCCACACTAAGGATTTTCCACAAATTCACTAATTTGTCTTTCTTTTGAGGACAAAGAGTAACCTTACCAACCCTCAAGAATTATATCCCAAATTCTTGAGAACACTCTCTCTCAAAGAGAACAATACAAATTTGCAAACTTACAAGGAAATCCTCACAAGGTAGATTGTTTGCACAATTCTAAAACAAAGAAAAGAACACTAAAAAATGAATACAATTGAGCACAATAAGTGTTCTTGAAAGCAAAATGAATATTGAATGAAAAATAGGCTTGAAATGCTCAAACTTGAGGTTTGATGCTTTCTCTTTGATTCTCTCTTGATTCTAGTTGCTTGATGTTTCTTGTTCTTGATCAATGGCTTCTAAGCTTGCTTAAATACACCTTGAATCACTTCTGAATGTTGGGGATCATTAATGAAGATAATATAGCCGTTTTAGTGTGAAATCAATTAATAAAATAGCTTAGAGCGTGGGGGGAATCGGTTCCCTAAGTGTAAAATTCAAATATTTCGACCGTTGAACAGTGGGGGGAATCGGTACCTCCTGGGGGGAATCGGTTCCCTTCGAGCATACTGGAATTCTCGGAGCCAAACCATTCAGGGGGAATCGGTATCCCCTTGGGGGGGGGAAATCGGTTCCCTCTGAGCAATCTGGAATTTTTGGCTTTGTGATGGTTCGAAATATTTTGTAAAATCGTTTTGAAATTATTTTAAGATTAAAACTTAATTTTACACTTGAGTAAGGATTAAAAAAATATCATTTGATAGATTTGGAGTAATATTTTGTTATTCGAATAATTGTATCAAATATACTTAGAAAACCTTAATTGAAAATCTTAAAATTCATTTATCTTAATTTGTTATATCGAAATATCAAAATGTTTTCAACAATCTCCCCCTTTTTGATATAACAAAACATTTTAGTAATTTTAAGATTTTGAAATAAAAAACGACGTTTTTGAAAAATTACTCCCCCTTACTTTAACACTTCTCCCATTTAAAACATTTAACACTTCTCCCCCCTTTTTGTTAAATCAAAAAGACTCGTAAAAGATTTTAAACAAGGTTTTTGAAATCATTTAGCCAATTGATTATATATAGTTTAAGCTGCTAAGATCACAATCAAGAGAAATGTTAGCCATTAGTTTCATAATCAATATTCATAAACAATGTGACATGGAAAAATTGGTCATATATCTAACATGATGTAAATAATGCAATAAATTTAACTAAACCAAATATATAAATTCAAACATCCAAACAAATCCAAAGTCTAACAATCCTCAAAATCAAACATTCCAAAATATTCAAAATGTTGAAACAATAATCTTTTAGTTCAAAGTTCTAAAGCTAAACACAAAATCAAACATCCGGATCGGGAGGAGGAAAACGAGCTCGCATAGCAGCCATCTCATGTGAGAGTGCATCAATACGTTCATTCATCGAAGCATTGTTTGTGCGCATCTCTTGGAGAATTTCTAATTGTTGAGCTCCCATTGTGGATAAATGAGACTCTATAGAAGTAAAGTGCGAATCCATGGTAGCATATCGGAAATCGAATGTCTCCATAAAAGATTGAAAATATGGAGGCATTTGATGTGTTTGTTGTGCTTGCTCCTCGGGCTGTTCAGGCTCATCTTCGGCTTCATCGATGTCTCACATTAATTGTTCAAGCTCGGGATCATCGTCAGCTTCTGGTGGAGCTCGTGAAGAACTAGCTCCCGAAGTATTTTCAGAAGATCGAACCCATTCACCGGTTTCCTTATCCTTTATCCATCCCGCTCTCGTTAAGGAAAGAAGATTAATTTGTTTCTTTAGAGGAAATGAGGCATCTATACCAACTCTAAGCCCGACTTTAGAAAATAGATTACTCAAAATGCAACTGTAAACTAAAGATGAACAAAGTTTTTGTTAGGAACAAGATTTACAGTTTCAACAATTTCAGCAAAAATGATCTGAGGTAGGTTTATTTTAATACTGTTTTCGAAACAATGTAACCACCAAAGATCCAAGGCTCTAAGAGTAGAATAACGACCTCCGGATGGTCGAAACCACTAAGAAATCATTAGATGAAGAAAACGTTCATGAAGGTCTAAGACACTCGCACTATCCCTTCTTTTATAACGAGAACCTAAAATTTGTTTTTCATTTGAAATACCATCGTTATCTAATCCTAATGACTTGGCTATATAAACCGAGTTAATATGTAAGAATTGTCCTAGGAGGTAGGAACGAACTTCTATGGTCTCAGTTTGAGCTCGGTTTTTGACACAAACGACATTAGAATAAAAGATGCGAACAAGTTGATGGTAAACTATAGGTTCAAGGTCACAAAGTTTATCGAATTTCCACTCTTGTAAAAGAGGAAGATATTTAAAATTAATATCTAACATAGCTTGACGAGAAGGGATACATTCTTCTCTAATTTTGTAAGAATAGAAATATTGATAATACCAAAAATGATGATTCCTAGGACCAGGATGATTGAAGCATGAATTTTAGATAGTTAGATTGGGATAAACTGGATTAGGATTAGGAATTGGAATTTCAGGAATAGGAGGAGGATTTGGAGGTGGATTTGATTGACGGTGTGAGCGACTAGATGATGACCTAGCACGTTTAGGATTGGACATGGTTTAGGAAATCGGAATAGAATGGATAACCTGCAATTTAGAAAACACATGTATGCAATTCAATCAATCCCAAAACTCAATTGAGTCCTCAATATTTCAAGGTTCACTAAATCAATCCTAATGGGCAAAGTTTTTGAAAACTATTGAATTTTTTTTTTGAAAAACAATATATGTATAGTTTTCATAACAACAACATAATTCAATTAAAACACAATAATTTGACAAACAATTTTTTTATTTCGAAAATTTCAAAATTTTTGGAAAATTCTTGTGTTTTTGATGAAATTAGTTGTAATATCTAGTTTCTAATCACTAAACAATCAATGCGGATCACTATTTCTATCTAGAACTAATTAAAACTAGTCCTATGTTCAAAATCAATGAAATAGAGAGTAGAAAAATTTACCTTGAAAGATGAGATTGAGTGGATTTTGATGTTGTTTGCACGATTTTATTGATGCTAGCAGGTTTAGAAGATGATATTTGAAGTGAATTCCGATTAAAAACATTGTTTTGAGGCAAAGTGGAGATTTGAGAGAATGGAGAGGAAAAACGGCGTGAAGAGAGAAAGAGGATTTGAGGCAAAAACAAGGGTTCTGCCCGATAAAACCAGAACCCTAGGAGGGTATCGATTCCCCTGGGGGGGAATCGGTTCCCCTTCAAAGGGGGAATTGGTTCCCTTATGGGGGTATCGATTCCCTCTGCACCAAAATGCTAAAATCCGATTTTAAACACTCAAAATGCTAAATTAATTTTCTCTAGTGGTATTGGCAACTCATATATTGAAAATTAATTACGTTCAAACAATCAAATTAATCTTTAAACTATATTTGAACGTAAAGTTAATTTTCATCAATAATCATAAACTCCCCCTAACTAATAGCAATTAATGCAATAAAAAATTAGCATTTTTCATTTAGTCTTAAAAGTGCTAAAATTATTTTAAACACTAAGTGAAGATAGGTTGGTCAAACCTAATTCTCTCATAAGTGTCCAAAATCTTTCCTTGTCTAAAGGTTTTGTAAAGATATCCGCTAATTGGTGCAAAGTATCAACAAATTCTAGAACTACATCTTCCTTAGTGACATGGTCTCTAATGAAGTGATGTATTATTTCAATGTGCTTAGTTCTAGAGTGTTGGATGAGATTTTTAGTGAGACAAATAGCACTAGTATTGTCACACTTGATAGGAATGGTACCAAATTCAATTCCATAATCAAAAGGTTGTTGTTTCATCCATAAAACTTGTGCACAACAACTACCAACTGAAATGTATTCGGCTTCAGTGGTAGATAATGCAACATAATTTTGTTTCTTTGAAAACCAAGAAATCAGCATATTTCCAAGGAATTGGCAAGTACCGGAGGTGCTTTTCCTATCTAATTTGCATCCTCCATAATCTGCATCAGAAAAAGCATGCAAGCTAAAGCTAGAGTCTCTAGGATACCAAAGTCTTAAACTAGGAGTGTCCTTAAGGTATCTAAAAATTCTCTTAACAGCTAGTAAATGTGATTCCTTAGGGCATGATTGAAATCTAGCACATAAGCAAACACTAAACATAATGTATGGTCTATTTGTAGTTAGATAAAGTAGAGATCCAATCATTGACCTATATAATTTAACATCTATACATTTACCTCCTTCATCTAAGTCAAGCTTTGTTGAAGAGCTCATTGGAGTGTCATGAGGTTTGCCATTTTTCAGTCCAAACTTCTTGAGCATATCTTTGACGTACTTAGCTTGATTGATGAAGATGCCATCTTTTCTTTGCTTGATTTGGAGTCCCAAGAAAAATGAGAGCTCCCCCATCATGCTCATTTCGAATTCACTTTGCATTAGCTTAGAAAATTCTTGGCAAAGAACATCATTAGTAGAACCAAATATTATATCATCAACATAAATTTGAACTACTAATAAATCTTTACCTTTATGCTTTAAAAACAATGTAGTGTCAACCTTCCCTTTTGAAAAACCTTTTTCAATTAAAAAGTTTGACAATCTTTCATACCAAGCTCTTGGAGCTTGTTTTAAACCATAAAGTGCTTTTGTCAATTTAAGAACATGATCTGAAAATTTTGAATCTTCAAAACCTGGAGGTTGTTCCACATACAC